GGACTTTAGAAATACACCAAAAATTCATTTACAATATAACAAAAAGACTTTTAACTTCTTATAAACTGTCATTGATTTCTTAAAACAAGTCCAACCTCAAAACCTCATAAAAAAAACCTCAAAACACTCGATAGGGCATTAAAGTAATTTAATAATCAAAATTAAATTCAACATGATAAGCTGTCATTCTTTTGGTTTGTTTATAGAAATTAAATGATGTATGGTTTATCTATATCATTAATGCTAAGAATGGAAATATGACTAAATATTTCTATAATAGACTAACTTAGTCAGTTAGAACTCTCCTATATATAAGCTTGTTGCCTTGACAAATATATAAGCTGAAAAACCACCAGTTGTCCTATATCCCACTAAGTCTTATATCTAAGCTTTGTACCTTTTCTTCTCCATTCAAATAAAATTACTTTGTTATTCTTTTAAAAGTTTTCTAGTCATAGTCAAGCTATTGTCCTAAACACTAAAACCAACTATTTCCTAAACCTCTTCATCCATAAACAACATTTTCTACTCTGAGTCACTGTAATCTTCTTTGGATAAACTAATATATATGTATACGTATGCTCTTACGTTACGTCTCGCAGTTTTAAAGAAGTAATCAAACCACTCAAAAATCTGGAAATATAAGTTCAACATAAAATAAGTAATAAAATAATTTTGTATTTTGAAATACTTACAAAAATTCCAACAATCCCCCACATATTTCAAAATACAAAAGGTCTCAAGGGAAAGTGAAAATTCAATGCATCAGAACTGGTGTCTTTTGGACTATGAACCAGCCTTATGGTGAGTTAGCCGTATCTCACAGAAATTTGGTGAAAATAAAATTTTCTATGAACCAAGATTTCTTTGTGTGAAACAGAGGACTGACCACCCACATTAAATTCTCTGATTCAAGTTTGTTCAAGCGGGTTGGCGCGAATAGGCCATGCGCCCACCTGGATATTCATGAGTGCTCTAGAGAGCATGTCTAAACTCTCATAGGAAGCGGCCCCACTTCCACACTCATATAGGTGAATCCATCAAGTGTGCACTGCAATCAAGCACACCACCCATAAGGGCTATGGTATTCATTAAGAACATAAGTTCAACCTCAACGTTGCAGTATTGCACTATCTACACCATAGGGAGGGACTCTCAAGAATATAAATTGATAGTGCACGCCCAATCACCCAGTGACTTGTTCTTACCCATATGAACCTACTTCCTGGGATCTCCATTCACATAGGTTGGGTTACCATCACTGTTGACTGTTGATATAGACATAAGTCCCATCCCCCTCGATGTTTTCCATTTTCTTTGTCACTATGGTTTTGTCAAAGAATTGGCCAAAATAAACTTTGACATCTCACAATTTAGGGATATAACCCTGATCTCAAAAAGTTGCAACACAACATAATATCAAATGAATATATTCATAGCTCTGGCTCTCAAAACTAGATTCTCACAATAGACACTTGAAAGTTTGTCTCTTCCATCATGGGATATAGCCAAGAGGTTTTAAGCTGCTTGGCCTCAAATTCATCATGTATGTCTATTAGAAATATTTTATAGGACATTGACCACAAATGGTTAGTTGATTTCATCTCAATATAAATAGAGATTACATATGTATCGGTATACATTAAAGTATAACGAAAATCCATCATATATTAAATCTTATGATCAAGAGTACCTCTCAATGCTTTGGTACTCATATATGAGTCTCGATGGTCCATAAAGCTTTGAGTGCACCTGCAGAACCTCTCAAATGTTTTGGTACACAAACATGAGTCTGCAACAGTCTATGAAACCTGCTGAAGCTATGAACAACAGAATAATGCTTAATTCATTAAATAAATTTAATAAATACTGGGTATTTCACGATACTCTTACTCCCTTTTTGTGCACTCCAAATGGCTAAATCATAATTGCATATCCAAGTTGTCACTATCTTCTCGATTCTCAATAGGAACCTCTTTAAGACAGTAAGAAATCTCCATCAAAATTTTATACCAAGACCATCACAACTCGAACTCAATTTTATCATGTCAAAATGAAGATAAAATGAATTAGTCCTGATAATGATACATCAACATATATATTCCTTTATAAATGAATTGTGATCATATAAGCAAACTTCACACATATATCAACATGTTTGCCATTAGTACTCATTTACTAATTATTGACAGTTATATCAAGGTTATGAAAATCAAGAACCCCCACATTTCCAAATATTTCAATGTAGAACGCATTTCTTCTATGTTTCTAACATAGGCCACCAAGAAATAATTTTCTAAAGCAAAAGGATTGCAAAACAACAACCCCCACAAGTTAATGAAATTCTCAAACCCCCACAAATTAGGGAAAGTCTCAAAATATATTGAGACAGTTGGCCTCAAAATATGCCCATTCAGTCATCTTAATAAACATTATAAATATGATAGTGAAACCACTGAATGACTCACATAAATAAAAATTACATCATTCACGTACCTGATAGGTCAATAAGCCTCAAAGGATTTAAGGCCAAAATCCTTACACCAAAACTCAAAATTAAATGCCACTTACAGTGATATAAATTTATCATTTTATTTGAGTCTTTCCAATGTACACTTCATGGCAATTGACTCAATGTGACTACTGTCAAGACTTCGCTATAGTTTTCTCTCTATCAAAACAAGTCCACTACCAAACATTAGTGTTTAATGGGTCGAAATGCATTGATCAAAAGGCATTTAGTAAAACCCATTAATTTCTTGTAAAACCAAAGTAAATAATATGAACAATTGAAGAGATCTCAACGTCATATTCCAATGACATGAAATAAATATGCTTTAAAACAAATATGGTGAGATACAAATTGACAATAAGCAGTAACATATATTATTAAAGCCTTAAATTCTATATGCAAATTAAAGTAATGTACTGCTGGAAACTAAATTCATAAATCAGTAATGTATATGCGATTTTATCACTAGATGAGTCAACAAAATAATACTATGCATGAGACAAGCTTCCCTGAAAACCCAGTTCTCAAACCAAACACATGAAAGCACTTATCTAGCAATGCCAATATTATTCTTGTGACACCCCTCTGAAAGGTTCTATTGGTTAAAGTCTGAGACTCTTAAGCCTCCACTACAATTTTATAAAACTCAGTACGTTCTCAGATGGAATTCTAGTCATATAAATAAATTGAGTAGCATCCGAAACTCTACTCTTAAGATTGTTGGAATTATTGGTTTATTGATGCTACTTTTCCTGCAAACATTATATGAAATAATTATTAGAAAATTGTAATTTACATTGATAGAGTAGATTAAATAAAATCAATGAAAATTACAGTAAAATACTTATCTTTTGGGATGTAGAAGTTGGTCTCCATTGATACTTAATAGTTTTAGGTTGAGGCGTGTAGTCACTGTCCTTAAGAGTAGATTTCGCCCCTCGGAGACAATGTCTCGGTGTAGCAAGGTTGTATGGCGCTCTACACTCCAGGATACAACAACCTATGACCCTCATAAGCGTACACTCACAATATTTGGGTCAGATGAACACTTGAATCTTTCCCTTGATAAAAGAAAACAAATTGGAACACAAACTCAAGAACGCAGAGAAGAAAATAATGAAGAAATATGTCAATCTGATTTCTCTTCTCCTCTTTAACACATAGCTCGAATGGTTTATTATATAGGAGATTACCAACTCCAAGTGAACGTTGGGTTTTTAACTAAGCAATTAAACCACATAAAACACTTGCACGTTAAGAACAAAATTTGATCCCAACTAAGCAATTAACTCACGCAATAAAGATTGGAATCAAAACCTTCACCAACTATTGTAAACCAAATACATTTAACTTATTTAAATGATAAAATAAATTGATACGGAGATATCAAAACCGACAACGCTAACAATTAATATAAAAGTATCATGTCATAGATTTTATAAATATAGAAAATAATAACAGTTTTAAAGAAGTAATCAAACCACTCAAAAATCTGGAAATATAAGTTCAACATAAAATAAGTAATAAAATAATTTTGTATTTTGAAATACTTACAAAAATTCCAACAATGCTTACATCTCACAATCTGTTACTTCACAAGGAAGACGTTTCTTTAGCCATGGTCAAAGTTTGCTGCTGCGAAACTTCTCACACCTATCTTGTGGGCCCAATCACCATGACATTTTCATCAATTCAATGTATCAATGCTAGTTTGGAGGACTTAGTAGTGGGCCCCCGCAGGTCTGTCTTAGCACATGAAAGAGAAAGGTCAGAGGTAACATTGTCCACAAAGCTCTTTTATGTTAAAATTAATACACACTTGTGTTTTGAATAATATAGAAAAATTCAGAATAATGGAGATGAGCAAACTGACTTAGTAGAGTGTTGAATTTAAAATATGATGATATCAAAGTATGATTTAGTATAAAATAATATAATAAAGTGAGACTCATTATTATACCAAATACTGGGGCCTAAATTTCAAAGAAAAAAAACTTATATGAAATGGACTTTAGAAATACACCAAAAATTCATTTACAATATAACAAAAAGGCTTTTAACTTCTTATAAACTGTCATTGATTTCTTAAAACAAGTCCAACATCAAAACCTCATAAAAAAAACCTCAAAACACTCGATAGGGCATTAAAGTAATTTAATAATCAAAATTAAATTCAACATGATAAGCTGTCATTCTTTTGGTTTGTTTATAGAAATTAAATGATGTATGGTTTATCTATATCATTAATGCTAAGAATGGAAATATGACTAAATATTTCTATAATAAACTAACTTAGTCAGTTAGAACTCTCCTATATATAAGCTTGTTGCCTTGACAAATATATAAGCTGAAAAACCACCAGCTGTCCTATATCCCACTAAGTCTTATATCTAAGCTTTGTACCTTTTCTTCTCCATTCAAATAAAATTACTTTGTTATTCTTTTAAAAGTTTTCTAGTCATAGTCAAGCTATTGTCCTAAACACTAAAACCAACTATTTCCTAAACCTCTTCATCCATAAACAACATTTTCTACTCTGAGTCACTGTAATCTTCTTTGGATAAACTAATATATATGTATACGTATGCTCTTACGTTACGTCTCCAACAAAGAACAATTGACTGGTATAGCATCAAAGTTTTTATATATAGCAGTACTTCAATAAGAAACTTAAGCCTGCTTAATTCATTTCATAGAACATTATTGTTGTTCATCCCTTCCTCTTAATTTCCATGGCTTCTCATCAGGACCACCAGCTTCACTTTGTGTTCTTTCCTCTAATGGCTTCCGGCCACATGATCCCATTAATGGACATTGCTAGATTGTTTGCACAACAAGGCATCGTTGTCACCATATTCACCACACCCCACAATGCAGCCCGATTTCAAGCAGTTCTTACTCGAGACATAGAATCTGGGCTCCAAATCCGCGTAATCCAAGTGAAATTTCCAGCTGAAGAAGCAGGATTGCCCGAAGGCTGCGAAAACTTTGACATGCTACCTTCACCAGAATTGGTCTTCAATTTCTTTGCTGCGACTGCCTTGCTTCACAAGCCAGTAGAGAAATTATTTGAAGAGCTCACTCCAAAGCCAAATTGCATAATCTCAGACGTGACTTTTCCATGGACATATAGCATTGCTAGCAAGCATCACATTCCAAGGATATCTTTTGGTGGAACAGGCTGCTTCAGCTTCTTGTGCGCTCACAATTTGCGCGTATCCAACGTGCTTGAGAGTGTAACGTCTGATTCGGAGTACCTTGTTCTTCCCGACCTGCCTGATCGAATTGAGATGACAAAAGCTCAGCTTCCAGACGGGACAGTGACAGCAAAACTGAAAGATATTGGTGACGAAATGGCAGCAGCTGACACGGAGACATATGGGATGATCATGAATACTTTTGAGGAATTGGAGCCAGCATATGTTAAAGAATACAAAAAGGTAAAGAAGGATAAACTCTGGTGCATTGGCCCTGCTTCCCTACGCAACAAAGACAACTTGGACAAGGCACAAAGGGGCAACAAAGTCTCCATTGATGAACTTCACTGCTTCAAGTGGCTTGATTCATGGGCACCAGCTTCTGTAGTTTATGCTTGCCTTGGAAGTATGTGTAACCTCAGCTTTGAACAGTTGGTAGAGATTGGATTGGCGTTAGAGGCATCAAATAAACCGTTCATTTGGGTTGTAAGGGGCTGCAGAGAAACACAGGAATTGGAGAAGTGGATTGCAGAAAATGGATTTGAGGAAAGAAACAAAGCAAGGAGCCTCTTGATTCGGGGTTGGGCTCCGCAGACACTCATATTATCGCACCCTGCAATTGGTGGGTTCTTGACACATTGTGGCTGGAATTCCACATTGGAAGGGATTTGTGCTGGGGTGCCTTTGCTCACATGGCCACTTTTTGGGGACCAATTTATGAATGAGAAATTTGTTGAACAGATTCTAAAGATTGCAGTGAGAGTTGGGGTAGAATTTCCAGTGACGTGGGGAGAGGAGGAGAAGATTAGGAGGGTGTTGAGAAAGGAGAAAGTGAAGGAGGCCATAGAGAAATTGATGGATGGAGAAGAAAGCCAAGGAAGGAGAGAGAGAGCCAGAGAGTTAGCAGAGATGGCAAAGAGAGCAGTAGCAGAAGGTGGATCTTCTCACCTGAACATTAAACAGCTAATCCAAGAGATCAAAGAACTAAATTGCATAGACACAAACTAAAAAGGGTGTGAAGGATCTTTTCTCAAGCATACTGCTTACTGCATAGATTTTTGTAATGATTATAATGCAGTTTTTTATTTCACTATTTCTCTCTTTACTGTCCTTGGGTTGATTTGGAAGAACCAAATATAGGTGTGTTTCGGCCTATTAATTTTGTAAAAGCAATAATTAAACAAAAAATAAGAAAATTGGTGTGAAATAGAAATGGAAATGACCACCCGAAATCACTAATCTTGATAAACTGAACCAGCCTAAACTAATCTTATTGGTTTGGCTTACGGTTCGACATGGTCGGTTCGATTCACAATTTGGCTCTAGACCCGAACCAAACAGAACGGTGTCCTGCCTACCTTCGCATGTTATCCAACTGCTGCTGAAAAAAAGAACCTGTCAACGCAGCCTACTTTTAGGTGCTCAGTGAGAGCCCAAAAAATATCTTCTATGTTCCATATTTAGCACTGGGAGATGCTTCACGTAACTCCAGAAGTGCTATAGAAAACAGAGAAAGACACGGGAAGACAATGAGAGTTTTGTAACATTATATTGTCCATAGCACAGAATTTTGTTCTACTCTCTCAACCACTAAAGTATTCTTGGATAAGTCAATGCACATATATGCGTATGCTCTTACGTCACCAGCAAAGCAGTTTGCCATATATAAATCACTACTCATTAAGCAAGTGACTTAAGCCTCTGCTTAATTCATAGAACATTTATAGTTGTTTATCAATTTCATTTAGTTTCCATGGCGTCTCATCAACAAAGCCAGCTTCACTTTCTCTTGTTGCCCTTTCCGGCCTCAGGCCACTTGATCCCAATGATAGACATTGGCAGACTGTTGGCACAACAAGGGATCCTTGTCACCCTAGTCACCACCCCACATAATGCAGCACGTGTTGAAGCAGTCGTTACTAGAGCCATAGAATCCGGGCTCCAAATCCGGTTAATCCAACTGAAATTTCCAAGTGAAGAAGCAGGATTGCCTGATGGTTGCGAGAACCCTGAAATGCTACCTTCGCAAGACCTGATCATGAATTTTTTTGCAGCAACTGCCCTGCTTCAACAGCCGGTAGAGAAACTGTTTGAAGAGCTTATCCCGAAGCCAAACTCCATAATCTCAGACATGTGTCTTCCATGGACAGCCAGCATTGCCAGCAAGTTTCACATTCCAAGGATATCGTTCAGTGGAACATGCTGCTTCTGTCTCTTGTTAATTCACAATTTGCGTGTATCCAAAGTTCTTGAGAATGTAACATCCGAATCAGAGTACCTTGTTGTACCTGACTTGCCTGATCGAATTGAAATAACGAAAGCTAAGGTTTCTGGGAGACTGACAACAAGAGTGAAAGGTTTTACTGAGAAAGTGGCAGCAGCTGAGATGGAGTCATATGGGATGATCATGAATACTTTTGAGGAATTGGAGCCAGAATATGTTAAAGAATACAGGAATGCAAGAAAGAATAAAGTCTGGTGCATTGGCCCTGCTTCACTATGCAACAAAGATGACTTGGACAAGGCACAAAGGGGTAACAAGGCCTCAATTGATGAACATCACTGCTTGAAGTGGCTTGACTCATGGGCACCAGGTTCTGTAGTTTATGCTTGCCTTGGAAGTATGTGTAATCTCATCTCTGAACAACTGATAGAGCTTGGGTTGGGGTTAGAGGCATCAAATAAACCGTTCATTTGGGTTGTAAGGGGATGCAAGCAATCAGAGGAACTGGAGAAATGGATTTCAGAAAATGGATTCAAGGAAAGAACGAAAGAAAGGAGCCTTCTGATTCGGGGTTGGGCTCCACAAACACTTATATTATCACACCCTGCAATTGGCGGGTTCTTAACACACTGTGGCTGGAACTCCACATTGGAAGCGATATGTGCCGGGCTGCCCTTGATCACATGGCCACTGTTTTCAGAACAATTCCTCAATGAGAAACTAGTTGAACAGATTCTAAAGATTGCAGTAAGAGTTGGGGTGGAATATCCAATGAAGTGGGGAGAGGAAGAGAAGATTGGGGTGTTGGTGAAAAAGGAAAATGTGAAGGAGGCCATAGAAAAATTGATGGATGGAGAAGAAAGCCAAGGCAAAAGAGAAAGAGCTAAAAAGTTTGGAAAGATGGCAAGGAGAGCAGTAGAAGAAGGGGGATCTTCTCACCTCAACATTGCACTGCTAATCCAAGATATCATGCAACAAGGAAGTAACTGCAGTCAGACAAACTAAGAAGAGATCATGTGACATACTTATCATATGGCTTGTTGCTGCTGACTACCCATGATTAAAGTTGATAATGTAATTACATATCCCCAAACCCACTTAAAGTTATATTCTTGGTGTGCCTCAGTTGGTACTTCCTCAGTTGCTACCTCCTCTAATCTTAAACTAAATAATATTATACCTCTAATCAAGAGATTTGGGGTCAATGCTTTGCATAGTTAGTCAAAGTTTTACAGTATCTAGATTAAAGCATAATTATTGTGATAGCATCTTTCAGACTCCTAAAACATCCAAAATGAAAAATATTAACAAATTCAGAAGAGACAATTGGGCCGCACATGCCTTGAAAAACACATCTAATCATAAAACAAACCAAGATGTAAGCTCTGACCTCACTATATTCCAATCCATCTAATTAAAAAGACTACACACACACTAAACTCCATCTTCATCCAGATTTGGATATCTTTGATTTATTATCAATCTCTTCTCTCCAACAATTCCAATTGCAATGGCTTCAGAATCCCATAATGATCAGCTGCACTTTGTTTTGATACCATTGATGTCTCCAGGCCACCTTATACCAATGGCAGACAATGCCAAGCTATTGGCACAGCGTGGTGTGGCTGTTACAATTGTAACCACACCCATCAATGCCATCAGAATCAAACCAATCATCGATCGTTCCATCGATTCTGGTCTCCCTATCCAACTTGTCCAGTTCAGTTTGCCACTACAAGAGTTTGGCCTGCCAGAGGGATGTGAAAACATGGACTCAGTTCCCTCAAGAAAATTGTTTTGGAATTTCTTTGCTGCAGTTGACAAGCTGCAAGAACCAGTTGAGAAATTTCTTGAAACTGTGAAACCCAATCCCAGCTGCATAATAGCTGATAAACATATGGCATGGACGGCTAACATTGCTCGAAAGTTTCGGATGCCAAGGCTTTTGTTTGATGGGACTAGTTGCTTCACTCTCTTGTGTTCTCATAACATACAAGAACACAAGGTCCTAGAGAGTGTCTCAGGATCAGAGCCTTTTTTGGTGCCTGGTTTGCCTGATAAGATTGAACTTACTAAATCCCAACTTCCGGGGAGTATGAATCCAGGTTCAGAAGATTTCACACGTCTTCACGACAAAGTAAAACAATCTGAAGAAGGGGCATATGGGATTGTTGTCAATAGCTTTGAGGAGCTGGAATTCGAATACGTCAAAGAGTACAAAAAGGTCAATCATGAGGGTAGAGTTTGGAGCATTGGCCCAGTTTCACTATCCAACAAGACAGATTTGGACAAGGCTCAGAGAGGCAACATGGCCTCAATTGATGAAAACAAGTGCTTGAACTGGCTTGGTTCATGGCCTCAAAGCTCAGTGGTTTATGTATGTCTTGGAAGCCTGAGCCAAGTTACAACCCTTCAATTGGTAGAGCTTGGTTTGGGGTTAGAAGCATCGAACCGGCCTTTCGTGTGGGTGATCAGCAGAAACAAAATAGATGAATGGGAAAAATGGCTATTGGAAGATGGATTTGAGGAGAGGATAAAAGGGAGAGGTTTGTTGATCCATGGTTGGGCTCCACAGGTGCTTATATTGTCACACCCTGCAGTTGGAGGATTTCTAACACATTGTGGTTGGAACTCAACATTGGAAGGCATTTGTGCTGGAATTCCAATGATCACATGGCCCTTTTTTGCTGAGCAGTTCTACAATGAGAAGTTTATAGTGCAAGTCTTGAAGATTGGTGTGAGTGTGGGGGCTAAAGTTGCAATTCCCTTAGGGGAACAAGAGATATCAAAGGTGTTGGTGAAGAGGGTTGAGTTTAAGGAGGCTATAGACAAAGTTATGATCAAGGAAGGGAAAGAAGGAGAAGAGAGAAGAGAGAGAGCAAGAGAGCTTGCAGTTTTGGCCAAGAAGGCTACAGAAGAAGGAGGATCTTCTTACCTCAACATGACATTGTTGATTGAAGATATAAGATCATGCAAAGCAAACAACTAGCAATATCCATTTATGGTAAGAGCACATGAATAAATTTTCAATTTGTAGTTAAATGTTTTACCATTAAATGCTTTTAATTAGCTGTTTGGAACTTTGGTGCATGATTAGAATTGCCAAAATTCAATCAAATACTCCTGTGCTTATCCAAATTTGAATCTTTCTATTTCATTGTCAATCTTTCTAATTAATCTGACTGCCCATTTCATTCTGAATACCATCTGTGAATTTGCGTGCCCAAGAGGTGACCTTATCCTTATGACAGACATGTCCAGATAGGCACCGCATGGTGTGCTTGTCCCAATTTCCAGTAGTGTGAATATAATATGGACTACAACCCAGCCCACTAAAGCTCATTGAACACTAGAGGCACAACCAAAGATAGAAGGCCCCAAACCAGAAGCCCGGAAAAACAGAAGATGAAAAATTGAGTGAAAGACAAAGTTTGAGATTATTAGTATTTTTTTTTTTAAGCAAGCGATATTGGAGGACTGGGGAATCGAAACTAAGGTCATCTCCAAATGAGGGCTATATCCTCAAATATAGCTCAAAAACCATCTCCAAGAGTGAACTACACAAAGGGCTACAACATAAGGGAGGGCTACACAAAGAGCCAGTTCCTAAAATGAGGGCAACATGTGGCCCTTTGGCTAGCCTGGCTAAATACTTGGATGGAGCCCAACTGATGTCACCTAACAATTAGGTGACATCATAAAGGCTTTTTTTTATTTATTTTTTTTAAAAACCGAAAAAATATTTTTTTTTCCATAAAAAATTCTATAAAAAAAAAAACCTAAATTTTTTGTATAAATACCTACCTCATTCTTACATAATTTCTCACAACATCTTCATCATTTTACATATTATCCTTCCTCAATTTCATCATTTTACATAATTTCTCACAATCTCTTTATTCTTTTACAAACTATCCTTTATTTTTTTCCATTTAAATTAATTTTTAAGTTGTATTTAGAACTAGAAAAAATCTAATCATAAATCTATAGGACTAATCACGTGCCGACACGTGGATGTCAAAAATCATATTCCAAAATATTTTTCTCTTCTAAAATGTATTTTAAATAGGATATAAATAGTAGTTTAATTAAATTAACTAATAAATTTACATCATATACTTAAAACTATTAAAATATTAAATTTAACCCTTTGTTGCTGGAGACAGTAAAAATGTAGTTTGACACTATTCCTTATAAAATTATTTTCTTGAGGGCTAAATGCAGCCCTGCTAGAAATACGCCCTTAAAACCAACTAATTATGTAATAGTTATAGTTAAGGACATCTTTGATAAAAGACATATTATGTTATCAATGGGCAAGAAATGTTGTTTTATACATTAAATCATCATATATTATCTTTCAATATGTAGAACAACCATAGTCTAAGGAATACACAAGTGGATATGAGAGTTATGTAATAAGGTTGCATACATGGAGACTTCTCATCATCCCTAAATCCTGAATATGTTCCTAGTCATAGGAATATTGATCAGGCGTTAATATTCCGCAAAGACCAGTACACACAGTATTGTCTCTATATGTAGGGAATGACAAGGTCTCAAGTCATTAAGTGTGGAGACACATCGATATGTGTGTAGGTGCTTGTAGAAGAACAAGTACACTGAACGCGATCCAACAGATGAGTTACAGCACTGAAGTCTTTACTCACATGTCAAGTTGAAACTCATAAATTACAACGGTGCAAACTAATCCTTAGACCTGAGGCATCATAGATGTTTTGTGGCTATGTTGTTAATCTTTGAGGGCACTATACAGTCATGCTGAATTCGGCATGGCTTAAAAGTGCTCATCAGGATTCTCAATAGAGTCATGGAAGCAAATAAATATATAACAAGGAATCTCTACTCTCTGTAAAGGAGAGAAAATACTCCAAGATATGATTGGTCAAATCTCTGCGCAAAGTAGTGGATAAGACTTGAAAGAAGAAGTCTTCAAATCTTACCAGGATAATCATATAAAAGGAATGATTCACATTAGGATATTGACAATCGGATTCCATGATCTAATAATGTGAATAAGGAGAATTGACATAAGAGAAGGATTCAATTGCACGGTCATTCCAATTTGAATAGGTTCTTTCACAACGTCTCATTTAGCTCGGATAACCGTGACTTGTTGCTAGGCTACAACCATGGTTTGTGGATGTCCTAAAAGGTTTCAACTAACCTTTATTAATAGGAAGCATTAAATTGTGGAATTAAATTCGTATATCATCTCTGAGGAGTTGAGTCAACCCAACAGATCTGCACACCCAAAGAATGTGATTAGAGGTACAAATGAAAAGAAATGAAATGAAGAGACACAAGTCAATGGTTGATAATCAAATGTCAAAGTCAACAGTCAACAGTCAAAAGTCAACATGTTGACCGGAGCAATTGATCAAAGTCAAATAGTTCGACCAGGTCAATTAAGTAAGACTATAATTATAATTTAATAGTTAAATTATAATTCAAACATTAATTATGAAATTAATATTGACATATAGAAATATTGGATTGGGCCTTTAAATATGATTTAAAAGGAAAGAGACAAAATAGCCTAAAAGGCTATTGGGCCCAAGGGATAAGTGGCATAAGATGACATGACCCATGGATCAAATGGAGCCCTAAATACCCACCCAAATTTGGCAACTAAGGGGAAGCTCTCCTTTTGGCTTTTGTGTTGTCCTATATAAGCTAAACTTTGGAGAAAACCTGATTAGGGTTTTTTGGGTTTCCTACTTTGGTTGATAAGTGATCATCTTTGTATCTCATCTTCCATATACCAAAAATTAGTCCAATGAAGAAGTAGACTAGCATCCATACTTTTTGATTGCCTTCTCATCATCTCTAAGAGCATTTGATGTGGTGAGGTAGAGGACTCCAACCTTGGAGCCTTAAGGTGAAGGAGTCAAAATCAAGAGAAAGGAAAGGCCTTTCCAACAAAGGTGTTCATTCTTGATAAATCAAAAAAAGGTCATCAAGAGTAAAGATCCATTCCCTTTTTCCCTTTTCTATTTGTGTTCAAAGAAACTAAGCTAAGATACTTGGTTTAAAATGAAAAAGGTTTAGCTTAATTAGTATAAACAAAATGAATCCGCCATTTAGAATGTTTTTGTTGTATAGGTTGTGGCTAAAGTTCATTTCCTAAGCATTAGATGCATGTTTCCTTCAAGCCCTCCTCACTTGGAGATGACCTAAGACCTCAGATGCATGCGTAAATACTCTTAACTAATTGAACTACAAGTTCTTGCCTGATAAATTAAGAGTTGGAAATTGTTTTAAAAAGAGCTAGTAGCTCAAGTAACTAAAAATATTTATATATATGTACTCATTGTATTATGTGTTCAATTTCCTCTTTTCTAATTTGTATAAATAATAAAATAAAAAAGCTTACGATCATTTTCGATGAAACATAACATATTAATGTGTTTTTGTGATTAATCACGTTTAAGGGTATAAAGAGTACTTCCAATTTCTAGTCTGAAAAAAAAAATACTTCCTATAAGAGATAATATATACAAATTGATACAGCAACTGCTCACCTGCATAGTTGTTGTGACATATCAAACCTGGTAAATTTAGAGAGACGGGTCAACGGCCCACTACTAATAACACCGATATTGTCCCCAACTTAACCACCGATAAAGCCCAATAGGTGTGGGGTTTTATCACAAAAGGCCTTGGTAATATTAGTAGTACAACCATTCATTATATCTTGTATTTTATTTAGTCAAGTTTCTGATGTGGGACTTATATTCTTCAATACGCCCCCTCACATGGGACCACCACATAGTGGGCCACACGTGGAGCCAAGTCCACATCAGAGTCAAACATTCAAGTCCAACACGTGAACACCACGTATTGGATAAGAGGTAAAGGTAAACATTCAAGCCCAACATGTGAACACCACATATTGGGTAAGGGGTAAGGATAAATGCCCAAGATTTCAGGCCCAGTCATTCAACCCGCTCTAATACCAGGATAAAACATGAATAGGTTAATTGTATTCTTCTTCATAATGAGGTATATATAGGAGTTTGCAATGGTGCTTTACAAGGAAATAGATATAGTAATTAATTAGGAGAATATCTCCTAATTATACAAGGATGTGACAACTATATAAAACAAGGAAGTAAATCACCTAATTAACTTTGGAAATAAATCTCCTTGATTTAGTAGGTTAACTCACATCAACACTCCTCCTCAAGTTGGTGCATACACGTCACCAATGCCCAACTTGGTAAGTGAGTCATAAAACACTCGTCCATAGACAACTTTTGTTAAGATATCCGCTAATTGATCTTCTGATTTTACAATGGGTAGACATATGATTTTGTTCTCAATTTTTTCTTTGATGAAATGTCTATCCACCTCAACATGTTTAGTTCAATCATGTTGAACTGGATTATGAGCAATATCAATAGCTGACTTGTTATCACAATGTAACTCCATTGGCTTCTCTGGTTTAAAACCTAATTCTGTCAAAAATTCTTTGATCCACAATAATTCACAAACTCCTTGAGCCATTCCTCGATACTCTGCTTCTGCACTAGACTGAGCAACCACATTCTATTTTTTACTCCACCAAGTGACTAGATTACCTCCAACAATGTAAAGTAGCTTGTTATGGGGAACTAACTCCCTAGCTAAGGCTAGGGAGAAAGCTTTTAATATAAGTGTGTAATTTTTATTAGTTTGATCCAAACTTAAGCTTTAATGTGAATTTGTAGTTTTTGTTCAAATGGAATTTGTAGTTTTCTTTTTAATTAATTGATGAATGTTTGATAATCTATTTCATGGGTTCAATCATGTTTTTCCCATTGTGTAGTAAAAACTTTCATGCTTTTAAAAGAGAAGAGAATTACTAAAGATTAATAGAATTTCGATGAAGTTTATTTTTTTGATAGTTTGTTGCCAATGGTACAAGTTATGCTTAGAATACTTCTAAAGGAAATTAAAAAGAGCTTTAATTATTTTGAACAACTACAATGGAAAATATTTTTTGGATCAAATTATTAAGAGTTGCATGCTTATGTTAAAAGTGGAACCCCAATGCCTTAGTGTTTTAATCAATTAAATTTTCTCTAAATCAAATCTTGCATAAATCAACCTCTCAATCACACTTGTTCTTTTTCATCTCTGTTATTTTCTTTACACTGCTCTCTGTGGATACGACACTCGGACTTCCGAGCTACACTGC